CGTCTTTGCTCTTAAACCCTTTGCTCTTCCCTCTGCCTGTGAGTTGGCATCTTTTGTTAATCAAGAATCCTGGGAGTACATTAGGTGCTTAATAAAATTTGTTCTTTAAGTAGAGCAATCATATTATTTCTGTAGAGGTGTGATAGGCAGAATAATCCCTCCACCCAAATTTGTCTGTGTTCTAACCACCCATGGAAACTGTGAATATGTTACGTTACATGGCAAAGAGACTTTTTAGTTAAGTTAAGGACCTTCAAGTAAAGAGATTATCCTGGATTATCTGGGTAGGTCTGATGTAATCATGACTCTCCTTAAAATAGAGAGAGGTGACAAGGAAAGCAGAGAATCGAAGTGGGGTGTGAGAAAGACTCCACCAGTCACAGCTGGCTTCAAAGATGGAGACATGGGATGATGAACCAAGGATGCGGGTGAACTCTGAAAGCTAGCAAAGGCAAGAAAGGGATTCTGCCCTAGAGTGTTCAGAAGGAACACAGCCCTACCAACACCTTAAATTTAGCCCAGTGAAATCCATTTCAACCTGCTGATCTCCAGAACTGTAAGATAATAAATTTGTGTTGTTTTAATCCACTGAAAATTTGGTTATTTGTTATAGCAGGCATATGAAACTAATACAGCAGTATTTTGTCATTTTCCCTTGTACCTAATGTGATAACAAACAGACAGCATTTATTCTTTAATGAAAATGAGTAAGATATTTAAGACTTGTCACTTTCTGGATTTTACGTTATGAAATTCAGTCTGAGGTGTTCCATAGTAATATTTCTGAACATCTGAGATATATTTAAGAATATATAGTATAATACGGGAACTTTTATTTGGGACTAGGAGTTGCAACAGAGAAAAATTACTTTTCCAATAAATCAATGGACTTGAAGAGTCTATTTATTTTGCCATCAGTCCAATTACCTTTCTGTTCTTCTGCAGTCTACTCACAAAACTCGATTATTGACGCTGGCTCAGATCCTTCTCTTTCCTCAGTGGCTGCTGCCTTAGCCCCTCGTGCTCTGTCATCTTCTCAGGCTTGATGTTCACAAACTGTGCAACTCAGCCAGGACTGCAGTATGTACAGAGCTAACTGGCTGAGGAACACGGGGAAAATATTTTGGTTACCTCATTCTCTGCATTAAAATTTCAATATGCTCAATGCTTTTTAGTTTACAAAGTATGTAATTTCATTTAATCTTCACAATAACTTGGTGAAGGACGTATTATTGCCTTCATTTTACAGTTGAGAAACCTAAAAGTTAAGAGCAGTTTCCAGGTAGTGGATGACAGAAAGGAGGTTTGAACAAAAATCTCTTAATTTCTTACTCAGTTATAAAACTAATGCAATTAATTTTACTGTATTACAGCTGTCCTCGCCATTTTACCTCAGTGCCATTATTCCAGATATACATTTTGTAAGTGTATTTTCAACGATGACATAGCTTGTGCACGTTATAAAATAATGTGAAAACACAGAAATAGAAGAAATGTTTTAAATCTTCCTTAATCTTACTACTCAAAGATAACCACTGTTACTGTTTTGGTGTATTTCTTTCCAAATATTTTTCTGTACATTCATCCAAGTATATTTCTTTAGATGTACTTTTATTTGGAGTTTTATATCCCATTCCGTTTTTATTATTTTGAATGAAGTGAGTTGGCATTCTAGTCTTATTTTATTTAAAATTTTACTGCGTTGCCTTTCAGTGACGTATTTTTCCTATTTATATTTAGGGAGAAATAAAGAATTAGTGCACCCTTCTTGTGTTAACCTTTTTTCTGGATTAGAGCCGTGCTTCTCAAAATGCAGGCAGGACCTGAAGCATCGGCATCACTTGGGAGCTTGTTAGAAGGGCAAATTCTCTACTGAGTCAGAATCTTCGGGGTGAGGCCTGGGAATCCCTGTTTTAACAAGCTCTCCAGGTGATTTTCACACATGGTAAAGTTTGGACTAAAGTATTTGGTTTTCCATTTGTATTGATGAGGCCAAAGCAGCTAGTAGGCCTGCCGTAGGTTAAAGACAAACAAAATAATTGTCATACTTTGAAAAAAAAGAGAACTTCTTGCTTACCCATATTTCCCTCATCCACCTGCCTTCAATATCTACTCTTAGTCAATTACTTGGGTTAAGGTCTGTAGCCCTCTTTAAATGCCTATATGCTTGCTTAGAAATGGAATCATTACCTACCCCTCTCACCATCCAATCATGCTTTCATATTCGATGCCTCTGCTGGTTAGCCACCTAATCATTCACTCATCAAAATCAGAATAGGATGAAGAACAGGTACATTTTAAGTTTCGTTCTGACAGCTTTTCTTAAACATCTACCATGTTAGATTATATGCAGTAGGGAAGAAAAACACATTTTCTAGACCCTTCCCTCAAGATAATTCACAATCTTACTAGGAAATAAAATTTTGATATATGAAATTCAATTAACGGCAGTCAACCAAATCCTAAATTGACTATAATCAAGTATTATAGTACACAAGATGAGTAGTGAAGGCCCTGGACTGTTCAGAAGGATAGACAGGTAGACCAGGGAAGCTCTTCTTAAGGAAGGAGGCATGTGAGGGGGGCCTAAATATTAATTATTATATTAATAGTAAAACCCTAACTATTAAATGTTTACCGTGGGTCCGACACATGCAGTTTTAAGCAATTGATGTTGATTATTTCCTCCAATTCTCATAACACCATTATAATATACCTGTGATTGCTATTTTCCAGACAAGTCAAATGAAGTTGAGTAACTTTCCCAATGTTGTATAAATAGTGCTTTCTGGGGCCAGAATTTCAAGTCAAGTCTGTTGGACTGCAGAGCCCAGTTTCTCACCACTTATCCTTAGCAGTTCACTCTGATCAAGAGGGTTTATGGATGGAGAAAGAGGCTTGAAGTACATTCCAGATAAAGGCAACCCCAGTTCAGGAGAGCAAGCTCCTGTGTCAGATTCATGTGACCAGACTCAGGGCTCATGTTGGCAAATTGCTAAAGTCCAGAGAGATCTGTTAGGATTATGGAAGGTCTTGCGTGCATAGATGGTGATCTGGGATAGAATATCATAGATACTAAAGAACCATTACACATTTTTGAACATAATGAAAGTAATGTTTTAGGACAAGACTAACATTGAATAAAAAAGCATAATTTGGTGGGACGTGAACAGATATTTTGGTACGACAGCCAATAAATAGGGCAATTTTTGTAAACCAAATCCAAGATGATAAGGATGACTGGGGTGTTGACAGAGGGAAAAAAGAATGACTCATTATTAAATATTAGAAGAGAAAGTTAAAAGGTGTTAATGGCAGATTGGCTGAAGGGACTAAGAAAAAAACTTTAGAATTTGAATCTGATACTCTGGATGATTTTGAACTATACACAAAAATTGTAGTAATCTGGAGAGAGATTGTCAAAAGTTAATAGAGCAGCCACCTCCTCTTCCAATAGCACTTTGTGCTTGAGCAGTACCCAAATAGTGAGTGAACAAACCCTCCTCCAAAGGTCCCTAAACTGTGTTGTTCACAGCTGCATTCCTGTTGCCTAATCCACTGCTCGACGTTTCATAGGTACTCAATAACTCTGTGCAGGAGGAAGGACAGAGGGAGGGGAGGAAAGCAGGATTAAGTAAATCAAAGAATTTTAGAATTGTTTCAGTTTAGTGTGTTGCTGTTGAAATGAAACAGAATTTAAGGTCTAACATCTTTGGAGAGAGGAAACCATGGAAAGCCAAAGGGAAGCACAGAGAACGTGGAAGAGGAAGGAAGAAAGGGGAGGCTGAGAATCAGACCTCCTCCTTAATAATTCAACAGACAACAGGAGCATGAATTCAAGTGCACTTTACCAAAAGACCCCACTACTTGTATATCAGATAGGTAGATTTTTACCAAAAATAGTTGTTCGTTTTGGATAGAGACCTTTCAAATTCATCATAGGTGTCAATGGTGGAGCTGTTTAAAAAGTTTTCTCAAGACAGCCCTGATGGCCTAATGGTTAAAGTTTGGGGCCCTCCACTTCACTAGCCCAGGTTCCCTTTCCAGGTGCGGAACCACAGCACTCGTCTGTCAGTAGCCATGCTATGGTGGCAGCTCACATAGAAGAACTGGAGGGACTTGCAACTACAATGTGCAACTGTGTACTTGGGCTTTGGGGAAGAAGAAGAAAAAGGAGGATTGGCAACAGATGTTAGCTCAAGGCAAATCTTTCCTGGCAAAAAGAAAAAAGAAAAAGAATCCTGAAAAAAATTTTTGCAATAGTGTTTTAGAAGTTCTGACTGCAAAGGAGATATGTAAATGTCCATTTTGTACTTCTGAAAACAGGTGCAGTCTCTGCGAGAAAAAAACAAATGTGTCAGAAGCATGGGAACAAAAAGGAAAACAATGAAAAAGAACCTATGCTTAATTTAATTACATTGATTTAGCTTTCTACACAAACTAGATTTGATGTAATTAAAACACCTGTAACAAATAAAATGAAGGAAGGACATCCTTTTTCCTGAGATAAAGGAAGATTTGAAATCCCATGCTATTTGCAGGAAATTTATACTATCTATGCAAAAAAGTGTGTGTGTGAGAGAGAGAGAGAAAGAGAGATTTTCTCTGATCACTTAGTTGATAGCCCAACAACGCAGGCAATATTTATGGCCTTTCAAACTAACCTCCCTTACAGTGAGGAGGTGCTGTCTATAAATCACTATAGATTAAATATTTTTTTCAGCGAGCATGAGCCCAATGCAATAAACATTACACTTATTTAACAATTTGTTGATTGTTTTAGACTTTTCTCCAACTATAAAGCCATAGAAGGAATTTGCTATATTTATGTATTAGATCGGAAATGTTTATAGAGTAAGAACCAAAACATGAATTTAAATGTGAAGAAAAAGAATGCTCGTTCCAACAAGAGGACACACTCCTAAACAACAGTTTGCCAGCATTTGATGTGTTACTGGGGCATTTATCAGGAGAGCCATGTGTTTCGTGCTGTGCTCATGCAGGATCTTTCATTCCAGCTATCTACGAGCCTTCCTGCGAAGCATACAAACACCTAGGCCAGACGTCAAACTACTACTGGATAGATCCTGATGGCAGCGGACCTCTGGGGCCTCTGAAAGTTTACTGCAACATGACAGGTAACTCTGTCATATTTCTGTTTCATGAACATTGCTTTTCTATATGTTGAGAATAAATAGTGCCACTGAAGTTTGTTTCGTCTGTGCTTTATTCTTATCACAACATGTGATAAGCTAAGTATTGGGGAATTTGTTAGGTAAAATGGTGAAATGTATTTCTAAAGCAATAAAACCTTCCAACATTGTATTTTTTTAATACCTACCTTCTGACTTGAAGTTAATAATAGCATTTTAAAAAATCAGTGCGTAGGGGGAAAACCCAGAAAGTGGAATTGCAAGGTTGAAGTCTACAAAAAGAACTGGCCGCTTAAGCAGCCTCCGCGAGTGACCTAGACAGGGAAATTTAGTGTCACTGCTCAACTGTCTGCATTGCCCATGTCTGAGGAAGCTTATAAACCACTCCAGACCCTCCTTGGTTCCCCATGGTTACAGAAGGAGGTTTTCTGGGTACTGAAATGCCTTTCTGACACTAGTAAAACTTACCTTCCACTTTCATGAAATTTATCTGGGGTTTTCTGCTTGAGAAGAGAAGCTAGTTTTTCTTCCCTTCTATATTAAATTTCAGGGCTACGAAATGAGATTGTGGTTTCCTATAAACTCCCCCAGCAGTGCGTAAGATGTAGAGATCTCTAAAGTAAGAACGTATTTTCCGTCCGGTACTTGGCAATGTCTTACCCTCCAAAAACCTGGAGAAGAGTGTGAGGCATTGCATTGTTGTTTACTGGCTCCAGGAGAGGATCAGCATTTGCTATGAACTCCTGTGGCTATGATGATAAGGATAATGATTATAGGATGTCATTGATGAGGAGTGCTACATGGCCTGTTTACCATGTATCAGGTACCATGATAAATTCTTTACTCAGACTACCTGGGTTTGTATCCTGGCTCCATTAGTCACCAGATGTATAATTTTGGGTACCTTATCAACTTTAATAAATTGAATAAGCCTCAGTATGTTTATCTGTAAAATAGATGAATAATAATATCTACTTTATAGCATTATTATATGAATGAAATGAGATAATCTACATATCTTAGCATATTGTTTAATGCGTAGTAAGCTTTCAGTAAAGGTTACCCAGGAGTAAAGTATTATTATTATTATTTTTTAAAGGATTAGAGAGTTAACTTGCTTATATCATTCAGGCAAGATTCAAATTCAAATCTGTTTGAGGCCAGTCATTCTTAAATCTGGTTATGCTTCAGAATCATTTATGGAGGATTTTTTTCTTTTCCATACTAACTTATTGGCTCCACCCCTGGAGACTTTGGATCAGTAGGTGTGAAGTGGAAGTAGGTTTGTGCAACAGAACTGAGAACGCTAAACAGTGCCGTAGGCCAGCAGACCCCAGCGGAGAATGTTCAGCAATGTCAGGAAGCCAGGCACGGCACAGGACGGAAGAGAGAATGATGAGGACACGAGTATAGTAGGGAAAGGGTGTAGAGAAAATGGTGAAATGGGGTCTGTCATCCCTAAAATATCCTCCCACGCCAAGAACTCTAAGAGTGTCCCAGAGGAGGAACCTACTCACCAGAAACCTTGATCTGAGAGCTCACTGACGGTTGGACTCGTCAATGCACTCGGGGGCTTTCTTGTTAACGTTCATTTTATTCTTATTGAACTAAAGTATAATCTATGAGAAATTGATTTAATCTATAAGAATCTTGATTTTGGTTTCTCCTTATATATATATATATATATATATATATATATATATATATATATATATACACACACACACACATACAGGGAGATACATATGTATAATATATATATATATATATATATATTACAATTAAAGTCAACTATTAACTTCAAGGGAAATCAGGGTATCCCAACTAGGCTTGGAGAAGTAAGAATTTACTTTAGTTATTTTCCTATATTCATCTCAAAGGAGAATTAGAAAATAAAACCATAATGTATGCAGTCTTCATGTGAAAAACACACAAAATGAAGGGCTGGTTTACTTCCTGTGACTTGAAGCCTGCACTCAGAAACATAGATTTCATCTTCATTGATATCTCCCTTAAAGAGCAGGACTACAGTTTAACCCAATACTCTAGATGAGTCTGAGCAGTGACGAGTTGAGTATAACTTTCTGCTGTTAGAATATTCTGCTTCGATCATTCAAGACAGTTATGGGCATCGGTATGTCAGGGACCCTTGAAGGCCAGCAGGCAATCTTTGGTCTTTTCTCACCCATTAACCCTTCCTTCATCTGGAAAGAACATGAACTTGACATCATTAGAAGAGCATGGTACCACAAAGCTTGGCTAGGGCTGTTCCATTTCCAAGGGATATATGTTGAAGAAGAAGAGAGGACAGCACGAGACATTCTATGAAGTCTTGCTGTATCACACTATGTCATGAGAAAGGGGATATGTGCCTTACTTTCTAGCACTTCTGTTAAAGAATAGAGCTGCCACACTTCTCAGTGACCCACATGTAATTGGGTGTTATCACTGTTGAATATATCACATATTTTAAAAATGGGAGCAAGACATCTTCTCTGGGGAAGAAGCAATGTCTGGGGAATGCTCAACCTCTTTTTATTTCTTCTTACTAGGATAGGGTGTGATGCGGAAAAGCTTTTCATTTGTGCAGACATAGTGAAAATTCAAGAAAAGAGACTTTGCTGGCAGGTAATATCTGATGTAAACTTGGGCAGAAACCAAAAACACTCGGTTGAAAATCACTTCTTATTTAGATCTATTCTTTGGAATCCTAAGCTTTTTTTTTTTTCTTTAAAGATATAATTTGAACCCAAATCTTGTGGGGGTTTTTCTTTCTTTTCTTTTCTTTCTTTTTTTTTTTTTTTGTGAGGAAGATTGGCCCTGAGCTAACTTCTGTTGCCAATCTTCCTCTTTTTTTTTCCTCCCCAAAGCCCCAGTACATAATTGTATATCCTAGTTGTATGGCCTTCTAGTTCTTCTTTGTGGGACACCACCTTAGCGTAGCTTGATGAGCAGTGGATAGGTCCGTGCCCAGGATCCAAATTGGTGAACCTTGGGCCACTGAAGCGGAGTGCACAAACTTAACCACTACACCACTGGGCCAGCCTCTGGAACCCTAAGGTTTTAATTCACTTACTAATTAAAAAAAATGGAACAAACAAAATGAAAACACAATTAATTTAGGGCCTGGCAAGAAGAAGGGGGTCTCCTCTGATTTTTTGGACAAGAAATTCATTCAAATAATGGTTACCACACTACTGTCAACTAATATGTCCAAGTTTTAGTTCTTTGTTTAACTTTATCAAATAAGTAAAGTGTCCCTCATCTTATCCTTATGATGTTTCATGTTGAATCATAAGGGAAGACTTGAAGTTTTTCCCTTCTTGAATATTTTATTGTTGAATTCAGTCAAAAATTTTAACCTATTGATATCTCTCGGTCCCCTCAGATAACTGTTACATTCTCAACTTCTCTTCCACAGTACTTCTTGAAAATCATGTTTTTATTTGTTTGTTTCTTCTTTTCTCCCCAAAGCCCCAGTACGTAGCTGTATATCCCAGTTGTAAGTCATTCTAGTTTCTCTGTGCAGGAGGCCACCGCAGCATGGCTCGATGAGCAGTGTGCAGATCTATGCCCAGGATCTGAACCTGTGAACCCTGGGCTGCTGGAGCAGAGCACGTGAACTCAACCACTCGGCCATGGGGTCAGGTCCCCCCATATTTTCTTACTGCCCTTACCTCCAGACCAGCTGTCAGCAGGCTGCTAGATAAAGGCTCCTAATATAGCACTGTGATCATGTGACATCCCTGCTCCACACTAACTGCTGAATGATGGGAAAGGGCCTCAACTTAGCATTCAGCTTTCTTCACATTTAACACAAACAAACTTTCTAGCGCTCCCCTTTTTCCACCCTGTGTCCTTGGGACTTCATTCCCCAAATACGCTTTGCCCTGTTTCACACTAAATTTCACGCCATTTTCCCTGTCTACAATATCATTTCTTGAAACTCTCTTTGGAAACTTACTTATCTCTCAAAAGTTGTCTTGAATCCTAAACTTTTTCATGAAGCTCTTCCTCATCTTCAATATACCCTTTACCACTGAACCACCTTTTCAACTCTGATCAATCAGACTCTTCCCTCTTATCAATCCTCATGGAATTGTGGGGTTTTTTCCACTTCTATGTCACTTAGTGCATTTTCTTCGCATTTTGGTTACTTGTATAAGTACCTTGTACTAGTTTCTTAAGGCTACCATAACAAATTACCACAAACCAGGTGACTCGAAACAACAGAAATTTATTCTGTTGCAGTAACTGAGGCCAGAAGTCTGAAACCACAGTGTAGGCAGGGCCACGCTGCCCCTAAAGGCTTTAGGGAAGAAGGGTGATTGCTGACAATCCTTGATATTCCTTGGCTCATAGATGCCTCCCTCTAATCTCTGGCTCTGTCATCACATGACGTTATTCCCTGTGTGTCTTCTCTGTGTCTTCACATGGCTTTCCATAAGGACACCAGTCATTGGATTTAGGGCCCACATTCATCCAGTATGATGTCATCTTAATTAATTACATTTGTAAAGACCATATTTTCAAATAAGGTCACGTTCTGAGGTTCCAGGCAGACATGAATTTTGGGGAGAGACATCCAACCCAGTACATACCTTATCTCCCCAAATTCAGTTATCAGCTCCTCCAAAGAGCTTACATTTTTCTATCTATGGAGAACACGAAAATATACACTATATTATTTATGGAGTATTTTAAAGTCTTGAGTCTGTCATCTGTGGTATTATGGGTTGAGTTGTGTCTCCCAAAAAGATATGTTTACATCCTGCCTCTCAGTAACTCAGAATGTGACTTTATTTGCAAATAGAATCATTGCAGATAGAACTAGTTAAGATGAGATCACATCAGAGTACGGTCCTTAATCCAATATGACTGGTGTCCTTGTAAGAAGAGGGAAATTTGGACACAGACACACACACAAGGAAGAAGGCCGTGTGAAGACGGAGGCAGAAATTGAAGTTATTCTGACGTAGACCAAG